TTTCTACAATGCGATTATTTAACCAGTCTCCAGTATGTGTTGTTTATATCGATGGGTGATGGATTTAAGTGGTACAAAGACACAAAAAAAAGCAATCGAAGCGATTGGAAACGATGTATCCAATGAAAAATCAAGCCCATCAAAGTGATTTCGTGCTATTGCACAACGAAAATAGGAAAAAAAGAGAAGAAAACCACTTAAGGGAAATGCCACAATGGCAGAGATGGATGTTCGTAGCAACAAAACCGCAACGACAAAGTCGACGTTTTGATCTTGTAAATCGACACGAATGGCAGAATTCACCAAGGAATCGAAATTAAATAAAATTCCCCAATATAGATATGTGTGAGTGTGGTTTGGGGCAAACTCACGCACGTACGTCTTTTATAAAAGGCTTGTGTTCCACATACATGCGAAATCTTGAGCAAGCTTTTCGCAATGGCAACAAATATACATATGACTCTTTCTCGGCACAATACAGCAATACCATATTATTACCGGGAAACAAATACCACATTTCTCATTTTGACTGATTTTAATCAAATGTATTGAAAACGTGTGCGAATGAAGCATGTGTGTGCAACAACAGCTACGCCACCAACGACAATGACAACATACACACAAAAAAAGAAGCAAAAACCAAAAGCCACAAATAAACTTGGAACAAGCTACGAAGCGACCGAAAAACGATTGCCAAACAACCGAGAATAGATAGAAAGCAAAAGAGGAAAAAAAAATATGAATTTCCACTGCAAGGATTTTGATTGTGTCTTTGACTTTCGTTTTATACTTTATCTCGCACATTTCCTCGTTTCAAAAATTGCGCTTTAACATTTCATGTTTGGAAGCAGCACAATGCATTGACTTTTGGCAGAATAAAAAAAAGCGATGAAAAAAAAAAATGAAAAACGACAAAAAAGTGAAGCGGATGAAGTTTAAAATGGAAAATACGTTGATTTGCAAAAATTCAATGCGAACATTTCAAGCGAATTTGTATGTGCTTCACATGTGTGTCTGTGCGAGCTTGTTATGTATTTGATATGTGTGGGATAGTAGGTTATTATTCGCGTTGTTCATTGTTGTGCGTGGGGGTATGGCATTCGACTAACGTTAACAAATTGGCTTCTTCAGGGTTACATCCATATGACCAAAGTCGAACGGGTGAATTGTGTACATACACCGTTTCAATTCAATTTTCCAACCCGAATAGAACTTACTACCGACCGAAGAGAAGCAATTCCATGTTCCGAGTAAATCAAACGTTATGCGAATACACATCGAGCGACAAACGGTCGATACTTCATTTAAGTTGGCAATAAAGTTAAACGAGTAAAAAACGAGAAACAAGACGCTATTAGAAACGAAGCAATGAAATGAACTGAAAAAAAACCTTCTCTCCCACACATATACGCATACATATGGGGTCTTTTGAAACCATATATGTTTTGCGAGAATGTACAGAGAATTTCTCTATATATATATGGTAAACGTGCTCAAACAAATGTGAGCCATTCATTTCATATGGATTTTGAGCGACAAACGTTTCACATAACAACGACCAATACCCTTTTTTCAAAGCACTTACGCCATCGGTTTGGCGAAAGAGAGATGCGGTGTGTACATTGGCGACAGTAAAGGCGATACACAATGCGACAAATGAAAACGAATGAAGAGAGGAAAATAACAACAACAATACACATTAACCGACGAGCAACTACACATGCTCATTGCTTCGATGAAACGTTGCATGTGCCAAGTGTACACACCAGTTATCCATACAGGACGATAACGATAGCAACAACAACAGTATCGGTGCGAGGCGGGCAATACCGTTATCCGAAAATTCAATGGTTCGCCTGTTTTATTCATCGCACTCATGTACATTGGAAAATGGGGTTTTTTTGCGCGTCTTCCCATCTTTTTCTCGTATTCAATGTATGCTCTCTCGATGGATTTTCCATTTTATTTGTGCTGAATGCTATGTTTGCTTTGGATTTGTTGTTGTTGTTTCTGTTGCCTTTTCTATCGACGCTTTTCCTCTCATCTTGTATGCTAAATTCATGCGCGTGTCTAAAAACTGCATAATATACGGACATCATTCAACTCGATTTTCGTTACGGTGAAATCCTTATCGCAATTTTCCAACAACAAAAAGAAGATGAATAAAAAAAATGGTCGCATGAAATGAAAGTTGATGGCGAGGAAACGAGCACGAATATATGCATATTGTATGGTATATGGGAAATGTTATTTGGTGACATTGTCGATTGGATTCTAAACTAAAAAAGATCTGCATTTTGAATGAGATGAAATTGACAGCTTACCACACATACATACACACATATGGAAAATAATAACGACACTATGTATTTGTATATGTACCAGTATATTGACAACGCAAATGTAATCGAATCGGTTTTTGCCTGTCAGTCACGGAATCGCACTTGCAAATCATCATTCAGGTTCATACGGTGAACGATTTTCTTATCAACGTTCACTTCTTTTTCTATTTCATTCTATACAGACTCAATTGCGAGTTATAAATGAATGCATTATGCGATAAAGAAAGACAACAAGAGAGATAGAGAGAGAAAGAGAAGTTGTGAATATGCACTCAAGAAATAGCGAAGCCATAAAATAATGGCTGCTTATGTGATGAAACCACTGGAGATTCAATTTTACCCCATCCATTCAACGAATCGCTCTTAATCAATGACGTTATGTGTGTATTTGTATGGTTGTCTGTGTTTGGTTTGAGGCATGTATTCTGCATTTGCACCCTCATTCAAATCACACGTTTCCCTTCCACTTTCAACGTACTGCTAATACTCGATTTTAATATTTTCTCGACCAAATTGACTATTTCCAATGTTAGTAGACGACTCTACTATTTTCATTTTAATATTGTTTGTGTACGCGCCGCGACAGGACACGACGATAACCCACGAAAATTGTTTGAATTTTAACTAACCAAGCCAACGCAAACTGTAAATCGAACGAAGAATTTTACATCGAACATTTATAATATTTTGTTATTCGCAAGTAGCAAATCCATATACACATTCTAGACGGACAAAAAAGGCAAATACTATTTTATCGTGGTATTGGCAACAACAGCTCCAAGATCGAGGCGACAATAACCAATTCAATCCATACACATATATTCTAAAACGCATTCAATAGATCGAATATCATTTTCTACAATGTAAACAATTTATTCGCATTGGCTCCGGTTTTTCGCATAACAAAAATTCTTCGCCAACACCGCCGCGAACATTCAATTTTTCAATTTTACTCGCTCGGCTATATTTTTCGCAATCGATTCGTTTACTTCATTTTATACTTTCTATCGTCGATTCTTTGTCAAATCTTCAATAACACGCGCTCACAAACAATAGACATATCTTTCGTATCTCTCGCGTCGATATATTTTCGGTATTTGCAAAAGAATTTTCCGTCTATCTTTCCGTCCAATTTTTACTGTCGATCCAATGTAAATAGGAAAAAACGAAGCAATCGAAAATTGTTTGCTGTTAATTTTGTTTTCGCGCGAGCGCTTGCCTTCATTTCCACGCGATTTTGTTCGTTTGCCAACACTTGGTGGTTTTTTGTTTTTGTCCGTCGCATGAATTAAATTGAAAATTGTTGGCCGTTCGAAAGAGCATTTTGTAATACGCCCGAAAATAATCCGAAATATTTTGCGCAACACGATGGAAAAACCACCGTGACGAAATGATCAGATATTGAATAATTGGAATAACCGATTGAATTTACGAAGGGAAAAACTCACGACTGGTAAACAAAAAAAAAATCCAATGAACCAGTCTGATTGGAATAGCAGAAGCCACAAGCAATTGAGCGCATAGTTTTAGGCGATTAAAATGGGGTTGCATAACTCACAGGCGTTTTCATAGCGCTCCGGTCGAAAAATTCAATTTCGAAAATGATTGGCGATTTTCGAACACAAGCAACACATAACGAAGGGGAATTCATGTACATCGGTTACTTCGCATATGCAATACAGACTGTGTGTCGTCGTCGTCTTCAAAACCTATAAGCGATCACAACGTGAAGCAGAAATGATTCTTCACTATTTTCTTTACTTTAATTAATTTAAATCACATTAATTAGTTTCGGTTGATGATTCGCCTACGGAGAGAGGCAAGCGCCTACATCGATGAAAACACATTTTTACATCAGGTTTTGTTGTTTAATAAAGTAAATGAAGCGAAGGTTAAAACAATGCAAAAATACTATGAGGGTTGGGTTTAATTTAGAATTGTTTTGAGCTTGACAACATGCTGTGTGGCTGTGTTACTCCATTTTACTATGTCATTTGATGTGAGAGAGAGGCAAAAGAGATGAAGAGAGTGAGAGTGAAAAGAGACGAATTTAAAACGTATTTCGATGTGTAATTATATTATCTTTTCACATAAAAACAGTTACATCGTACAGGATTTCATGTTACCCTCATGTTATTTACAATTTACATGTTCAATTAGAGAAAATATATGCGCACATATGCACACATCAACAACTAAACGCTAAACAAAACGACCAATAAAATACAAACCTACACACCATATATTCAATGTGAATTTTCCTTTACAATGTCACCCAAATGAAAATAAGCAAATGTAATTCCCATTCTTTGAACTTGTTTTTGACTAAAACAGAAGCATAATTCTCCAAAAACTATTGTTTGGCAAATGAATGAGAAAACTTTTATATGAATTGCTTATGAAGCAAGTTACTGCGGTAAATGATGCTCGGTGCTTAATCAAAAGTTGTTGCCAAAAGAGAATGATCAATGAAAGGAGCATTTATACATACACATACTCTTGTATGAGATTTATCAATAATTTTGCAAACCAAATTGAACTGTTTCTTTTGACATGCGCTTCAATTTTACATTTGGGAGTTCAGAGTTCATACTTGATAAGCCATGTAATATATACTACCGTATTAAGAGTAAATATAGAACAAAATTATATTAAAAATTCACATAAACATGCTAATCTTTATTTTTTATTGAAATTCACTTGTTCCATATAAAATTTCAAGGATTTTTTTTCATAAATTTAGCCATTCGCGATGAAGGGATCTTATAGAACACACCTGAAGATCGGTTTATCGGTTTTCTTGCTTATTCATATGATTTGATATCCAATCAATGTACTGATCAACTCTCTGTTGTGCAAAAGACATTTATGGATAAGACTTCAATGATTCATTTAATTATAATACTGTACAGATTTTTTGTGTGAATAAGTTTCATGTGCAAAGAGGAAAGTATATTTAGATTTTATTAGACGTCTCTTAAAAATAAAATCCAAATACAATACGAACTCGACTTTCTGTCTGCACTTTGAATCGTCCACCGACAAAAGGCGTCATTGTTCGATTTTTGCTCCTGCTGAAAAGTCTCTTGCAGTACTAAAAAGCAAGCTATATGAAGAACATCTTTTTAGAATCAATAACATCAGGATGTCGGTCCCGACGAATAATCGATTTCGTACTGTATATTTTGCTCATGAAAAATATTCGAACGACCGAATTGAACATATCAAACTCTTTATCACTAAGTGTATGACTCAGTTCGATCGTTGTAAAAATAATGAATGAAAGAATGTACCGTATAGACACCGGGAACGTCTTTTAATCCACATGGTGATGATCCAAACGAAGCAACCCCGACTATGGAATATTGCACATTTTTCGGGTCAGACTTGTTTTCATGTATCAACGGGCCACCATTATCACCTGTAAAAAGAAAGTTTAATTTTAAAGATTTACAAAATGGCATTCGGACGACATACCTTTGCACGAGTCCTTTCCTTTTTCACCTCCAGCACATAAATGTAGGTTTGTCAAAGTGACACCATAACCACTGTATAAAACGTTACATTTATCTAATGAAGTGCCATTCAGTTTTACCTTTAACTTAATGTCACTTCTAGCAGCTATTGAAATCAATTACAAATTGGATGATTTTATGTAAATCTCAAATTCTAAAATCAAAAAATATTACCATGCTATAAAGGAAATGAAGAAAGAAAATGTTTAGAATTTATTTTTGAAATTAAGGAATGACTTGAAAAACTCGTACCTCAGTCTGAAAAAAGGGAAAAAATCATTTAATTAATAATTCAAAAGATTTGAGAAAAAGGCAGTTACCGTTCCCCATCCGGATGCAATCAATGGAACTCCGTCAAAGTTCTTGTTGACATCGGATACGGTCGGAAGAGGAATAGGCTTAATCCAATTCGTGTATTGAACTGGTCGCGCCAAACGAAGTAAAGCAATGTCATTTAATTGTAATCGCGAATTCGGTTCATACTTTTCATGAGGAATTTGTTCCACCACAGGTATATTCACTACAGCATCTGAGCATTGGCCCTCGTCACAATCTGGATCAGATGATGTATTCCATTCTCCAAGTCGAACTCCTTTAAGAAAAACAATTGGATTTTTTAAACATGAAAGTGTGAATAATGAGAGTTGTCACATATAATTCAAGCTTATGGATTTACACCTTTTGTGTGTAATTCAAACTTTCAACTATCACGAACTGTCATGATTCATACCAAATGTAATCGCTTTTAAAAAGATCAAAGGTTTGATTCATTTTTTTATATTTATTATTTATGCTGTTTTTTACGTTTT